GAATGCGAGTTAACAAACGAGATGACATGGTCTTTCACTCGTGACCCGTCTCGAAAGGGTTAATTGTATAAACTAATTACACTGACTAGAATGTCCCCTGATGAAATATAGGATCCAAAATTATAATGTAACTTTGGATATGGTTCATGTTTACCTTTAGTAACATAAAATTAAATAAACAATTTTTAAATGAATTATTACCAGATAAATGCTTTATGGTGAAACAAAACTATATTTATTTCTATAGCATCAACTGCTCTTTTTTTTTTCTCAGACCTAGACAAGAATATTATGCTATTTACTGTATATATGTCCACAACATTATTTATGGGGGAAAAGAAACAAAATATGTTATTCATAATTGAATTTGAATAGATAAAAAGTAGAAGTTTTATTTATTTTGCACTCAATTTGCTTATACATACATACGGGTCATGCACAATAAATATTAACAGACGAACTTCACAAATTTTGTTTACGTGAAGGGTGTTTATGGCGTAATTTTAAAATTTTGCAACATTTTTCATTCTTTTTGATTGAGTCAGGCAGGTTTAAAGCAATCTCAACATGAATTTTAGGCTAATACAAATTACATTCTATAAGTTGGCTTCTTTTAAGGAAAACATTTTGAACTGGGTTCTTTATACTAAAAATTAAGTACAATTTTACAATTCCATTGATCACAAGGAGTGAGGGTCTAGCAAGAAATGTGTTTTAAATGACACGCATGTGTGATGACACCACTAGAGGGATCAGTCATTCTCTCTTCATTGTTATAGAAGATTGGGATCGTAACAACTCATGGTTTGACTTACTTTCAGAATCTGGACCTTCTTTGTCGTAAATAGGCATCTTGAGACTTAAAATATTGAAATCAAACATACAGTGGTAAATAAGCTTCATTAAAAACAGAGCACAGCTGTGAAAGGACTACATGTTTTGATGGCTTACTGAGTCTCCATCATTAAGAGTAAGAGTTAAGGTCAGATAGTGATATACATATATATCTGCATCACCTTCAATTTCCATAATTGTACAGTACTAGTAATTGATACCTTAAACAAATTTGTTATCTAGAAGACCTATGTGGTGTAGCTCTTAAAGTGAAAATGAATTAACTTTAAGAGCTACACCACATAGATCCTCTAGATAACAGATTTGCTCAAGGTATCAATTACTAGTACTGTTAGATTATGGAAATTGGATATACCACACTGTCACTTGAAGACAAGCATTCAGGTTCCACAAAACTATATTTGCAACAATCTTTTTAATTATATAGGTTTCTGAAATATTATTTGCATTGCAGCTCATTCACTGCCATTCTAACTTACCTTCCACAGTTGTATTGAGCATAAAATTCAGTTAGAAACAATGTGCTGAATTGTAACACATGGGGCCTCAACAGGAATTACAGATACCAAAAATTATCCTATCATGTCCTACAAACTTTGTTGCCTTTTTTTTGTTTGCCCATCACAATTTCTGAGAGTACTTTTGCTTGTTTCTTAAAAAGTAAAGCACTGCAATATTGTTTGATTCAAAATATTTGCATAATAAATATCCAATGATTGATCAGAAGTTTGTTTTTTCAACCTGGGCTTCAACGGGTCTTATACAATACTCAGAAATGAAGATTTCCAAAATGGTATCTCATCTGTACACACACAATAGTTTGATTCCTTTGTGTATTTGCCTTTGAGATTTGCATGTCCCTAGCTTTAAATGACCTCCCACTTCAAAAACAAGTGTTTAACATGACCGGTGCTAGTGCATGATGACATAATAATGCAACAGTAGCCCTCTACAAATAAGGTGATGAATAACTTCATTTTTTTTGTTGGCATTGTCTAGAATGGACATTTCAAAATTTTTAATCAATTACTTCAGGCTCGTGAAGGTTTCTTACTGAGTTAAGTTTCCATGGTTAAGTGTTCATGATTCACATAACCAGCATGTTTTTTTCTTTTTACTTTTAATGATAAAAAGAAAATTCGTAATGGGGTTTCCCACCGTTACGAATTCTCAAGTGACAGTAACTTCCACTTCATTCCATGTTAGTGACAATGTTCCTAACACAGGACCTGTGGCTACTGGGGTCTCATTGCCTGTGGAAAATGCGACAGCCATTGTTTAATGTGTTGTGGGTTCCTTCATGCATACTTGGCCTTCTTGTCTCATCTATTTGGCTGATGTTCCCTTCTTCCCAGTTTGAACATGACCAGGTTGATGATGATTTCCAATAGAGTACTTTACCTCCTCTCACATATATGGCTGTTCTCATTCAGTGCTACCCTCTATATGCAAATATTTTTTTGCATGCCACAAGCCTTGAACTCCTACATACCACTACGATCAATGTGGTTCAACTTCTCTGCACACAGTAACTAAAATCCTACATTGATGTGGTAGAGGGGCAGATACAAATAATAAGACCTAGATGAGCTTCCTTCAGAGAAAGCATCTGAAGAGAAAAGCTCATAAACGTGACACCCAACCAGTAATTTTTAAGGCTGTGTGTAAGGGTAAGGAAGACTGCATGGAAGTATATGTGATTGGTTGAAAAGTATGATGATTTAAGCATACTTAGTGTTTTTGTTATCCTGTTGCTGTTGGTATGTGTCTGAACTTCTCTGTTAATACAGGCGTACTTTATTTCATAGTAATTGAAGTTAGTCTTAAATTTCCATCATAATATATTGCTTACTATACCAACCGTTTTCCATTCTAGCTTCTAAATTGTTAAAAATATCATTTACCAAAAGAATACCATAACATGTAATTTTTTTACATGATTCAAAATGTTTTGCTAGAAAGCAATAAATCTTTTCCCCTCTATTTCATTGTTGGTCTGAGTGTGTGTTTGCAGAGTTAAGTAGTAGTTGTACCTCTTGGTATTTCAGTTCACTCCTAGTTGCCTTTTTTCGAAAAGCAGTTATATTAAAAAAAAGTGTAAGACCTAATGTAAATTTTGTTTTTAGTGCTTACTGGAAATTATTGCCCTGTTTACACAAGCCTGAAGACTGCTTCTGATGGAAAAAGCTTGGAATTTTGCCTAAGAGTTTAAAAGTTGTAGCTTTCTGGGTGAGTTGATGTCATACTTTTCATCCATTCACATATATGTTCCAGTTACTTTTCTCACGCCAATTTCTGGGTGCCAAGACATAGTCATTTTTAAAATATTGTAAGGGAAAAAATGGAAGGCATAGAGAAGTTTTAACTGTGAGGTTAGTGCAATTTGGAATTTTTGGGTGCAAGTACAATTTTACCTCTACTTCATCAGGAAAAAGTAATTTTTCAAGTAATTTTGGACCCTCTTTATTCATAATAAGGTAAAACATAATAAGATACATTAATTTGTTAATCAATAAAGGAAAGTGATGAAAGTATTGTAGGAAGGTAGATAAAATCTTTCATCAGTATGAGAAAGGCTATATAAGTTCTTCATTTTTAGCAAATGGTTTATTAAGAATATTTTAAATGAATTATGTCTTTGTTTACTGCACTGATTTAAAATTTGGCTGTTGCTTCTTTATGCGAATTCCACATACTGTTTTATGGAGTTTGATGTTGTGTGGTCAAGCAATAGTATTCTGATATGTGTAAAACTTTAGATATAAAACAATTATCATGAAAACTTGTTATAATTCATATTTTGAAGAAAAAGAGTTTGTATAAAAAATATAAACTGATACTAAGTTGTCTTTTATTTATTTATAATTGAATTCTTCATTAAGAACTGTTTGCTGAAAGGAAAATTTTAAGTATATGGTTGTTGTCTGATTGTATATGATTAAAAAATAAGTTATTGTATTAACATTTTCTTGTTATCAAATAACAGTTTCTGAGTTTTTTTAAGACAATATCTACATCTAAAAGTCAATGCAGAATTGTGAAAATGTTTTATTTTAATGTATTGCAGGTTGGAGACAGTCCATCATGGATATGTTTTCAGTTGATTGTTATGGGGTCGGATTAGATATGAGTGAATACTCTTCAGACTGTGATTTTGACTACATTAGTGAGAGTTATGACATTAAGAGTTTGGAGGAGGACTACTCTTATTTTCAGAATTTTGATATACATTCTTCTTCTAGCTATGAGAGTGACAAGCAACATCATCTTGAAAAAGTGTTTAATGAGCTTGATATACAGAGGCAGACAGGAGAGTTCTGTGATGCTGAAATCCTGGTTTCAGATAAAAGGTTTCCAGTTCACCGCAATATTCTGGCTGCAGCTGCACCTTACTTCCAAGCTATGTTTTCTTCTGGGTTTGCAGAAAAAGATCAGAAGCAGGTGGAAATCAAAGGAGTAGAACCTGACACGTTTGAGAAACTTTTGAGTTATACATATGGTGGTAAGTTAGCACCACCTTGCTTGGTTTGAAAATAAAATTAGTATTAGATAAAAATTTTCAATTAAGTAGTTTACTTTGTACCATTTTCATACTACTTTCTGTTAAATAAAGTTAGATTTATTAAGGTTTGAAGCCTGGTACTTAGGACATTCAGCTCTCAATCTGCAGGTCGCAGGTTTGAATCCCATTATCAAACGTGCTTGCCCTTTCAGTCATGAGGGAGTTATAATGTGATGGTAAACCCCACTTTTTGTTAATAATGAGTAGCTCAAGTGGATGTTGTTCACTAGCCTCTTTCCTTTTAATTAGGGATTGCTAACTTAAGTACCCTGAGCAATTGTGTACAAAATGCAATAAAACACACAAACAAAGGTTTAAAATTAATAAGAAATTAATAACTCCATACCTAATACATTTGCAGTTTCTCAAAATAATGAATATCTTTTATTAATAAAAACACAGTTGAAATGACATGTGATGCAAAGGTACCACTAATCTGAAAAAAAAATGAAGATAATCTTTAATTTTGAAATTCCTGTGACTTTAAGAAGACTCCTTTACTTTATGTTTCAGAAATAATTTTTGATAGTTGAATTCATTTCAGTTTTATTACTTCCATGTTGATGTAAACATTGTTAGAATACTTGTTTGTTTACAAAAGATAACAAACCATCTACTATTAATGTTCACAGTAGCAAGATGCTAAATTGAATACATGGTAACTGAGTTACCATTTTGCAAAATAATCTCTTTGAATATTTTCTCTTTACTTTTTAATATAAGTATGCTAATTCGAAGTAGAAACTTGTGTTTTTTGTATTTATATGAATCACAAGTGATTAAGATCCTGTAAAACATTGCCCGGCATGTTTTAATCAATCATAATTACAGTTACATTTACCTACAAAAATTTGTTTTTTGTTCTCTTAAATTGTGATTGAGAACACAAATTCAATTGTAATTGCTCTTGATTCATGGTCATGGTATAGCACTTTTCCATGTACTTCTTGATAATCTTCCCATTCTCAATTGTCTCTCAGTCTTCTCATCTTCCTTTTCTATGAATTTGGCAATATCATCAGAAAACTCTTAACCCTTCAGAAGATTCAGACTATAAAGTCAGTCAATCAAAGTGGTGCATGCCTGTTCATATATTTGCTCTCTAATCTAAGATCTTGTGGCCAGAATCTTTAGTTTGATGCAAAATGCTTAAACAGGCTCTTTCTCTTTGAAGTAGTTTATGCTTTATCTTGGACTTACTAAATGATCATGTGGTCACTGCAAAAATTGGAGACAGAGGATAGAGACAGTTTCTTTTAAAAATATTATTATATTTTATTAACATATTGAAAGCATTTTCCATGATGTTTATTTCAGGCTGCAGAGTCTTAATGGTTAAGAACCTTATTGAACCTTAATGTTATTTCATCTGTTGCCTTGGTAAATAATCTATTTTATTTATAATGTTTTTAAAATTTAGAATATCCAACTTTAGGTCTACCATAATTGTGGATATTGGGAATTTGATGTACTACTAGATTAATGTTAAACACCATAAATGATAACAGACAATTATTTCAAAACTTAAAACCATTTTAACATAATACAAGTTTTGATTGTAATTATGAAGAGTGTCAAAAGCCCTGCTGCTAATATGGGCCTAATGTTATCAAATATTAGATCACCTTTGGCCAATAATGATTAATTTTTATCTTGTGTAAAATTATTTCACGAGGTAAGAATATTCCCTAACTGAAGTTTTGGATATGGCATAACAAAAGATAAGCCTCTTTCTATATTATTGAGCTAATAATTGGACAGATTAATAATTAATATTTTTAATCTGGCCATTGGAAAGAATTGTTGAAGTCATTAAAGTTATGTTAAAAGTCGTTATGGAGTGTGGCTTGTTTTCTAAGTTTTACTTTTAATTTAGCCTGAAAAAGAGACCACTTAGCTTTCTTATAAGTTTGGCTAGAAATTAGCTCTTTATATGCAAGTTTAATTCTTAAGAAATTTGGTATAATATTTAGACCTAACAGCTTCTGAGGAAACATCTAGAAAGCATGATGTACTTAATGTGTATCATCAATCTACAAAACAAATTACTCAGCAAGGATAAGATCTCTACTTTAAAATAATTATAATGTAGACAGAATATGATCATTACTAAGCCTGAGGTAATGAAATAGTATTACTTCATATGGATGACTATAAATAAAGTAGAACACATCCTTAACCCCTTTCATATGGGTCACAGGTGAAAGGACATGTCATCTCATTTGTTGACTCGCATTCAAAATTTTATTGAACTACTATTTCATGAACTTATGTCAATAAGTTTGGTATCAAACTGAAGATTATAATTCAAATTTTAGTATTATGTATTGCTCAGTTTCTTAACTTAAAAGCAAATATTAAAATACATTTTTGTGTGTCACGTGGTATGTTGAATGCATCACTGGTTCAAATTATGTTTTTGAAGTCCAAATACTAAGTATATAGTTTTGTATGAATTAAAAACTCGAATTACTGATATTGACAAACTAGAATATAAAATAAGAGCCTCTTATCTTTTTAATTTGCTAAGATATTGCTCATGTAATAAATCAAACACAGTGGCACCCCACCCACCTCTTTCCATTTTTAGAAATGCTCCCTTATATGTATGACATGAATAACCAATCAGAAGCTCAGAGTGTCTCCCTAGGTTTTCTCAGCCATTTCTTTCTTTTGAACCAAGATTTCAATGAGGTAGGTTGTGTCTTTTAGTCAGCCCAAAATTTCATATTTTTTTAGAGTAAACTATATCGTAGTTACTAAGCTTGATAGATTATAATTGAATTCTATGGTATTAATAGTAATTTATGATTTTTTAGTTATTCAAATGTATATATAAAACCTAGAAAAATTATTTTCTTTCATATCCTCCAGGTACAGAGATTAATTACTGAAAATAACAGATAAAATATAAAGTTTTTTTTTAATAAACGTTTGATAATTATCCGGACATTATAAAAAATTTCGCATATGAAATTTTAAAATATTCTAATGCATAAAAGTATTTTTAACCTTAAAATGAAAATTACTTTGCATGATAGATAGGTAAGATGTGAGAAGAAAAAAAAACTCATGAGAGAAACATTGCTTTACAAACCTTATGACTTAATAAAAAATCAGATATTTTGTGTATGAAAGCATTGTAATGTTTACTAATAATTTGCCAAAGTTCATTTACTAATTTAAAAGTTATAGCATGAAAACTATAACAAGCACAAAATGGTTACGAGGTCATCACATTGACTGACCCCATATTGAAAGAGTTAAGAAATGATCCAACTAAATTCTAGACACTTAAGAGTCTCTCTTCCAATAGAGAGGCTAAGCTACAAAGTTTCTTATTAGAGTTAAACAGGGATAACATTATTTTTGAATCTATTTATGATGATATACAATCTCCAGACTGTCATCCTGGAATTCTTTATGAATTACCAAATACACATAAAGCAATTATATCTATGAGACCCATTGCATCCACTTTTACAATACATGACAATTTTAATTTTTCTAAACAAATTAGAGAAACCAGTTTTCCTGAATCTATTTATGTGGCAATCTTTAATGGTATGTCATTATGTACAAATATTCCACTTGAGGAAATAACTGACTGAGCAACAAGCCTTGTGTAACAAGGTCACAATCTTATGAAAGATATTCCAAATCATATCTTCAAAAACTATAATAATTTCTCATGAAAGATTTCCACTATTTTTATTAATGAAAGATGGTAAGGCCATGAGCTCTTGCCTTGCACCAATTGTAGGAAATGTATTATTATTTCACTATAAAAGACAATGAGTGACCAATTGTAATAATTAGTTCAAACCTTTATATTATACAAGATATATTGATGACAGTTTTGTTTAACTCATAATAAGGATTATGCTAATTCATTTTTAACATTTATAAAAACAACATCCTTGCATTTGGTTATCTGTTGAATTTGAGAATAATTTCAGGTTCTTATTTCTAGATATTATAGTTCAATAAAAGTTTTCAGGTTTTGTTGTTAATTACTTTCAGCCTGGCATAGCCTGGTGGTTAGGGTGCTCGACTCACAATCTGAGGGTCTGAGGTTTGAATCCCCTTCACATTGAACAAGCTCGTTGTTTCAGCCGTGGGGGCATTATGATGTGACAGTTAATCCCACTATTCATTGGTAAAAGAATAGCCCAAAAGTTGGTGGTGGGTGGTGATGACTAGCTCCCTTCCCTCTAGTCTTAAACTGCTAAATTATGGACAGCTTGTGCGGATAGCCCTTGTGTAGTTTTGTGCAAAATTCAAAACAAACTAAATTAATTACTTTCATAAACAAACATACACAGGGCTCTACTTGTAAGTATGAGAGATTTACACCACAACCTTTTAAATACAACCTTATCAATAAATGTTGAATATACATGCTTCTGCTACTTTCAAATTGACATCATTAAAAGCACAGCAAGGATTTAACAGTAAGGGGCAGCATGGCTCAGTGGCTTTGAATTTTGTATTAATAGTTGCATGGTTGTGAGTTCGAGGCTGGCTTGTGTCATGCTGTTTGTCCTTGAGCAAGATATTTTATCTCCACTTGTTCTAGTCTACCTGGCTGTATAATGTGTATCAGCTGTTAGCTGGGGGTTAACCTGCAATGGACTGGCATCTCATCCAAGGGGGAATGTGTCACTATTTTCATTCACTTGTGCCACTTGAAAACAGAGTTCAAAAGAACTGGCCCTATGTGCTTTGGGAAGGCACAGCAAGGAGTCAACATTTGTTTTAATCAAAATATTAAACACTCGCATATAAAATTTATAGTAACCTATTTTAAACATGAAGTATCAAACCTTAGTCAGATTCTTGGATAAAATGGTTTTCATATTACAGTTACTGAAGAAAATGTTTCAAAAATATGAAGGAAACTAAATAATGTTAATAATATTTCTCCAATTCATAGAGTTGATAAATTTTTGATAACTATTAATCTCTCATATCTAGGCTGTAAATCCTTGTTGTTAAAGTCATAACTTGTGAAATTATTCAATGATGCCTATCCTCATGCACCTAAGATTGTGTCTTTAGGAATTTCTTCCCATTGTAGACAAAATAAACAAAATACAGCAATTCCTTATCATTTGTAAATATAAATGCCCTCTGTGCTTGAAAAACAGCCATGTGTCCACTACCAGAAGTCTTTGGCAAAGGAATTGCTGAACCTTGTACTGCTCTCCATCTATAACAACTCATGTTTCACAGCATGCTGTGGAATGTGACTGGGATATTAAATTTGAACAATTTGACAATCTATTCAAGGTAAGAAATGGAAGAACATTAAAAATCCAAAAAGTTCTAGCCATTAAGACTTTACAGCCTGAAATAAACATCATGGAGTTTCTTTGAAACTCTCAATCATTTCTATTTTTTTATGTTAATGAACATTGTATTCATAAAGCGAGAGCCTTAGACATTCTTTGCTGTATCTTTAAATTGTTTCAAGATTGTGCAGTATATCTTACCTTTACCATGTTGTCTATGAGAAGGTTCAGGATTATGAGTAATACAACTATGAAATGCTGTGGGATGGTTAGGTTTTGATACAGTGTTCCCCTCTTCTCACAAGATTAGCTTTTTGCATTTTGTGCTGCCCTCTATATGTGAATTTTTTTTTATAACTCATGCCACAATCCTTCTGCATCACCTATTGGAACCGAAGATTTCAACATGTTTCTCATGCAAATCATAATGTGTCATCTCTCCACCAATAGGAGAGTACTACTATCATTTGATGCATGTCACTCCCTCTATGCACCACTACCCAACCATCACTTCTCGTTTGGCAGTGCTTGAGCGCAGACATCTTTCTTTTTGATCGTTACTTCTCAAAGTGGTTTCACTTAATTTAATTTACTTTATTTCAAGAATTTTTTTTTCCACTTTAATTTTGAAAGCGTTTGATTTACCCATGTTTTGCCTCCAAAAATTTTGCTTGTTTGTTTGGTATCATGCATGAATTCTGAAGTTAATGTTACCACTTTGGGTACATCTCATTCGTATGATGCCATAATTCAGGCCACAGGGGGATTTATTAGCACATCTCTGTGCACAAATAAAATGGGAGAAAATACTAGGTGCTATGATGAAATTTTTACTCACCATGGTGATTTGATGCCCAGGATTTGTTGAGGCCTGTATTAAACATATTATTTTGTGTGTGTAACACAACTACTCTAACATTAATTATCCCATGTCATTTAATAATACACATGGAGCTGGCAATGACAAGTAATAAATAAAAGGAAACCTTCAGTAACAGCCAAAAAATAAATGCAATAAGATTCAAGGAAGTTTAATAATAATAAGACTTAGAAACAAAAGTTATGACAATGGTAAATTTGACAAAGTAATTAGTAGAAACTAATGTAAGTTAACTAATGGAACTGTTGTATAGTTAGAATAAACCATATAAGAAGAGCTTAAAACTAACAAAAGGTAAAACTAATAGTGATCAATACAGAATTTAACGAATTTGTTGTTCAAAATGCAATAGGAGAAATCTTGTTTATGAAAAAATGCTATTGAGTTTAAGAGCACTGTCCACGAAGTCTTTTAATGTTGAACAAATTATATTGTGTATGTGTTATAAACATTGTAATATTACTTATGTGAAATATTTGTATTTGGAAGTGAAAAGTTTATATCTTCAATGTGTCTACTTAATTGAAAACTTTGAACTGGAATGTTTATCTTACAATGCTGATATCTAAATCTAGGTAGTTTGTTTTATTTTAAGTGTTAAAGGTCTTTCTTTTTTTTAGAGTGAGTTATTGTATGTAGAATTGTTTGGCTGTGTCAAAAAAAAAAAACCTTGATAATTAAGTATAAGAATATCATAAAATAAGAAATTCAGTTGCATTCACATTGAGAGGATGAAATGTGTAATTTCTCAGTCAATAAGTTTACCTTAAAAGATAGCAGCTCTATGCATGAAATATATTTTCTGATGGAAACTGGTAGGCAAGTCTTCACACAACTTGTTGCTTACTGTTTAGGCTGTGATATGTATAAGAATTTAAAAGATAAGAGCCAAGCTATTCTCACATTTGTTGTACAGTTTTAATCTAATTATGCCTTCTAAATATGAAAAACATATTGGGAAAATTGATATTATTAATATTATTGTGTGGTAATATTACTGATTTACACCACTAATATTGACAGATGAATGAATACTGTACTAATTTAGTGCAGCATATTGAAAGTAGGGTGCACAATATATAAGACTGTATGGATTACATAATCTTATTTGTAGCTAAAACACATACCAATTCTTTACATGAAATTTTATTACAATTTGTGTAAATGCTTTTATTTTAATATTGCAGGTTCCTTAGACGTGAATCGTGATACAGTGGAGGAGCTTCTACATGTGTCAGATATGTTTGCAGTGCAAGGACTGATTAGTGCATGTGAGAAGTACTTAAAAAACCACTGGAGACGAGAAAATTTTTTTGGTAAATAAAATTTAATTCTGTGTTGATTTTTTATTGAATTTTGCAGTTAAAATCTTTCCATCTACAGTAGCTGATTGCTATATCTCATAATGAATGTACCAAAACCTACAAAAAATATAAGATTTGGTTTTGGACCTGTGCGCTCTGCATTCCTGCTGTCCTCCTGATGTCAGTTCCCAGTGGATCTGCAGATGTGGGTTCTTGGTAAGGAAGCTGGTACCCATTTTTGAGTTGAAAGGTAGAGGACTCTCTTGCTCCCGTGGACCTGGTGTACAATTTCAGATGCCGCTATTTGTTTGTTGAAGTCGAACTCCCATTTACAGTCTTTTGCACAATAGCCTCTCTACATCAAGGGTTTCTTCCTTTGTTTTCACCATTTTGGCAACACATTACTAACAGGTGAAGAGTATACCTGGCTCAGAAGTTTGCTGTTTCCTGCTGGTGTGTTGTTTTTAGTTCCTTTGGATACTTCCTAAAGGGGTATCATTTTCTTACTGGCTCTCCACCTGTTCAGTGTGGGATTCTTGCTTTCTGTGAGCGGAGGTAAGATATTTTATTGGAAGTTGACATTTTCTTAAACTGAAAATGTATTTCCAATAGGTACTTACCTCCTCTTACATTTCCCACCCATCCTCCCCACTTTTGGTGGGGTTTGTGTGATCTGGCCAATATTGAAGTGATGAACTGCTGCAAGATTAGAAAGGGCACTAGTTATGATAGTGGTAGTATCACACTCCTATTGGTGGAGGGTTGCTGTATAATCCTGTGCATATTAATATGAAAATATCTCACGTTAACATATGTGAGGATAAGTAGGAGTATCAAGGCTAGTGGCGAGCAAATATTCGTGCAGATAGAGGGCAGTATAAGTTAAGAAAGCTTTTTTGTGTGTGTGTTAGAAGAGGTATCTATTGGAAATGTATTTTAAGTATAGAAAAATGTTAACTTTTAATTGTTTTTGTGAATATCTTTTTGTTGCACAGGTAGTCGTGTGTACCATATTTCAAGTCCTTATGACTTACAAAATATGCATTTTGAATTATATATGTTTAATCAGAAAATTTAGTACAGAAGCTATTGTTTTTCTAAGACTCATAACATAGGTAAATTAATATGTATAATTTTACACAAACTGTTCTTTCCTTTAGAATACTTTTTATTTGCAAGCTTTCTGCCCTCTCACCAGAAACTTCATAACCAGTACATTGTTGCCTGGTGAAGGCTTGGGTAAGAGAGCTGAAAAATTGCAAATAAAAAGTATTTTACCATAGAGAACAGTCCATGTATAATTCTACATACAGAAGTTATTGGCTGTTTCCAATGTAACTTGAGTTGCTAGTTTTGTTGACACTAAAGAAAACATTTGTAGCTGCTGCATTTATACCAGTATTTACTGTTAGTGTTGGATTAACTTAGCAAACCATGTTTCATGAGTTAATCTGATTTGTCATAAAAAAACAAAAGAACTTTTGATATTCATTATTTAATGAAGACGACAAACAACTTCAGAGAAATGTTTAATGGCTTTTACCCGATGTTTCGGCTCATGCTTTTATCATGGGTCTATGAATGTCACAGGTTACCAAACTGATTTTAAATGACAGTAACCGAAAACGAAATACAGCTACAACAATATAATGGAAAAGTGTATGTGATATGAGTATAGTCGAACGGTTTTGAGTTGCTGATCATAAAAATAGATAAAATTATTATGATGATAAAATTAATAATAATAATAAAATGTTAAAGGGGCCAGTAATTGTACCTATTAATGGAAAGGTGTCTATATTGAATCAAAAAAGATTCCTTATGATTTCTGTCGAGGAAATTGTCACAAGTTTTTAAACTTTTGGTAACTTGTGATGTTCATAGACCCTTGATAAAGGTGTAAGCCGAAACTTCAGGTACAAGTAATTAAACATTTTCTGAAGTCGTTTGTTGTCCTCCATTAAATAATGGTTGCTATCCTTCAGTCAGCACTGAAAATTTTTAAAAACAGTAATACTTTCGATATTCATTTAGGAAGTTTTAGAGTTTATGCAAATATAATATGGAAACTGTAAGATGCAAATAAGTATTTTCATTCTTAACAGGCAAAATCTCTAACTCAGATTGACTCTGTACGGACTTTATAAAATTTTTTGTGAAATACTTTATTGAAAAATCAGAAATATTTTTTTGTATACAACATACTTGTAATGTTTACTAAAAGCTTGCTAAATTTCGTGAAGATAAAATCAGTACATTCAGATTTATAGTACATATAGTTTCATCATTACCTGGTAGTTACAAAGTCAGGAAATTACACAAGTTGTTTTCATGTGGTTACAATTTGTATAAATGCTTTTATTAATCCAAGTGAAACAAGTACCTGTTCAGTATAATACTTCATTTGACAAATAAACAAAAATTTTAAAGAAATAAGAGAAAATGAAGAAAATAACCTCTTGAGTTTTGTTCTTGTAAGTCAATTAAGAACATTTTAAAATCTTTATTTTAATCATGATGTTTTGATATTTGTATATTGTTTACAACACATAAAAACCTTATGAGATGTGTAATTGATTTAATAAGATTCAGCTCTAGTTCCTTTGGTTTATTAGATTGTCTATTTCTGTGCTTGCATTTCTAAAGATCTTGCAATGTTGGGCACCAGTGATGTCAGTTGTATGCTGTGGGAGTGTACTGGTTTGGGTTGTGACATACTGTTATAGTGACCAGGCTTATACAGTGTGGGTCTAAAGGCTTTTGTCATGTTCATCTATATATCAAAATGAAGCCTATGAAATGAGGATTTAGGATTATTAATAAAATTAAACCTTGATGCACACTTCACCAGGATAGAATCAGTTGAATAGACCAAAGCAGAACTGACTTAACTAAAAATGAAGGGTGTTGTATTGTGGTCTAACTAAACTAGGATTATAGAAAATATATTTCAGATAGTTTATAACCTGTGAATAAATTTAATGACCTGTTGTCAGGAGTATTTGGTAAAAAAAATATGTACTTCCACACTGCATTTAAGTGGGCCTCAGTCACAAAGTTAGAAAGTGTGAAAACCAAAAGTGAATTGTGCTAAGTAAATATTCAAACATATATGCATGCAGGAATTATAAACCATATGAAGTATACTGTAAGTTCTGGTAGTAATACAACTAAGAAATAGGGCTTTGTAAGCAATATTTGTTTGTCTTTTTACAATATATGGGATAATATGGGTAGAGGGGGGTGTTTGTTGAAACACAAGACATAAATCATTAATTTTTAACTTAAAAAATATTAGTTCAGGAAATTTATATAATGACCTTTTTCTAAGAAAAATATGTGTTTGGTAATTCACAGTCATAAATGAACTTGAGAATACCAGTTGTGCAGATACTTAAAGTGATACATTATGACAGGGAAGTAGCAAGAAAACATTAACCCTTCAACAAATATGTGCATTATATTAGTAGAGTTGTCAGTTTTATCAAAAGTGTGAAAATGAAGAAACTACACACACTATTATGTTTAAAATTGTATTTTGATTTTCTTTAGAATCCTTGTCAGAATCATCATGTACATTTTTCCTCAAACTTCTACTGTTTTGTATCCAATAATCTCCAATTCCCTGTAACCTTGAAACATTTTTAATTTAAGTTTATTGCTTTGGCTGCCATCTTCCCGGTTTGATTTACAAATGATCACAATGAATTAAAGATCTATTAGTTATGCTGCTCAATGGAGTTTTATAGGTAACACATTTCTGCTTTACCCTGAAGTATTTAAAATTGTAATGTGATGTGTCACTGAATATGGCCTTTTACATATGTGACAAGTAGTACATTTCGTTAGATTTGTGCATGTGCAACCACATGCTTCAAGTAAAAAAAAGTGAAAATGACCATAAAGGGGAGGCAGTTACATTTAAGATTATCTCATAAAAACTTTTATGTCTTATAATTTAGAAACTATGACTGTGTTGTTAGCAAGATTGGTCAAATGTGAAAGTAGACTAAACACAAACTTATGAAACATATTTACCTGTATTATAATTCTATCACTAGTTCCTCTGCATATTTTCTCTAAATTCAATCCTCAAATTACTGACTTGTCTTTATATCATATATTACATCATATATAGAATATTTTCTGTTAAAACACTCGATGTAGAAAATTGGATGACATCATTTATGTTTTATGTAAAATACATAACGAACACTAGCAATAATTTGTGGAATTAATTGCTATATTGATGGTATATTTATTTAATTTTTTTTTTGTTTGGCCTTACCCATCATACAAGAAAATGAGTATGAACTACCTTCATAACTTTTTTAGCTGCTACATTTTTCTAACATGGTATTAATTTTCCTATTATTTTGTTGTTGTTTTTTAAGTAATTTACAAATTAACTTTGCTTTCATATCATAGTCTTCTTCTGAAGGTCACCGTTTATGCATTTGAAAAAAAATAACATATTTGTTTGTCTAACAGAATATATTGCCACAAATTTTTAGGGCAATCTGGGCATTTCGTAATTGGCAAATAAATTGCTAATGTAGACTTAAGTACAACCACGTTATGTTTGTATTTAAAATAAGCAGTAATCTCATGCTATCTTCTGTAAATCAAATATATTGATGGTTAAATAATTAAAACATGTTTTATTATCACCCATAAGGCTAATAATGTTTTTATTTAAAACATATCGTAATTGCAATTAGAAATAATTAAATATCCAATTAGCCAATTTGTTTATGTATGTTGTTTGAATAGGATAAGCATAAAAATAATATTTGAGTTATCAGAATATTTTGTAGTTGCCTACCACACTCACTAAACAGTAAACTTGCCTCATTTAATGATGATTTTATTTTGTTTGTAAAAAAAAAAAAAAAAAAGAAAAAAAAAAAAAACATTTTTGTGAACATTGCAACAGAATAAAACCATAGTATTTGTTAAAACATAAAAACACCATAATTTTAAACAAATAACCAAACATCAACAAAATACCTTTATTAAGACTTAAGCACTCTACCGTGGTGACTTCTTTGTTTCATGCTGTATGTATATTCCTGTGCATCGACAAACTACTTGTACTTGATGATGACAAATCCTTCTACAAATATTGTACACTTGTTAATCTGTTAAACTACTGATAAAGTGTTCTTTGTTACGTATTTAACCCATTTCTAAACTGTGTAAGCTCACCTTAAGTTACCTGATGTCCTCTCATTGAAGAAAATTTCTGTAGCTTTCAAACGTATATAATTTAAAACACACGTACTTTCATAAATGAATAGAGCTGAAAAGAACATTTACAGAAACTGTAAAAATAAACTTAAACCTATATATTTATTCTACTTTTATGTGATAGTCTAATTTGGGCTCTATCCAATCATTTTTAAACTTTCTTTATAGTTGCTTTCAAAGCTACGTTTCATTAATAAATTATCAAACCACTTAACATGGCACCATAACAAAGTCTCAACCAAGCAAGGCTTGTACAAAAACTCAAATGTTTGAAAGTCAAGAAATGGATAATATAATATAAGAGGTGATAGGTTTTTAGCAAAAATAGTTATTCTTTGGGAAGAGCAGAAAATGTCTTTAAAAAATTGACAAGTATTTTATCTTTACAGGCAAAACATTTTTTCTTCATGAATTACCATAAATGTCAAAAAATGACAAAATATTGACTCTTAAATATTTTTGAATTAGACGTGTTGAAATATAGTTAGAATTAGCATATAAAATTGACTATATAGTTTGTCTCAAAAGTTTGAATCAAATATTTTAAAAGCCAGAGGAAACCTTGTCTTTATGCTTTAAGCACAATAATTTAGAATGAAGTTATTTATTTAATCCTTTAGGCAACACAACTGCATTGTGAGATAGCAAATTCTATTTTTATTTGTTTATGGTTTTGTTTATTGTTCATTTATTATTCCTTCTATCATTTAGTTTATATATAAACTTTGTTACATTAAAATGCCAGCTCACCTTCTAGCTGATCATATTTATTTTGAGTAAATATGTATGTATTATGAAACTGACACTAGTTTCCCTAGCAGTTATTTACAGATATTATTAATGTTGCAAAAGATTATGTAAATTTATGATCACATGAGATATACTCTCATGACCAAATGGAGTGAATATATACCCTGCCATAAGCTTCATAAACTGAGTCATGAGATAGTGAAAACAAATTATTGATGTTTGACACTCCAGAGTTATTAATATAGAAAAGTTATTTTGGAATATTGTGTTTTTTGTTTTGTATTTTGGAATTAGGTTTTTCCTTCTGGTTCTTTTTCCTGGTTTCATTATTTGAAGTAATTGATATTGATATTTGTTTTATTTTCATCAACATTATTATCAAGTCCTGGCCAGGCACATTTATTTACTGTGTTTTCAGAAAATGTTAAATATGATTCCAAGTGTTGTTAGAGTTTAATATATTGTTGTTGTTGTTTTTTGTTGAATCCTAGTTGTAGCACCATATTATTTTAGACCATTACAGCATCAGCCTTGTTTAACATGTAGAAACAATAAAAGATTTATTCACTGATCAGTCACCTGTTGTAACAATACTGTGGATGCATTTCCATACTTATTACTGCAAACAATTCATTATTGTTTTACATATTTAATAGCCTGCTTACAACAGTGTTGGGGCCTTTAAATATTGTACCTGTAACTACACAGATTACTCAAATGCTTTGTAACAAACTGAGGGAAGTGAATAATTGATTTTATTTATTAGGCAAATGAGTACTTATCCAAAGTAAAAACCTAGTATATTTTGGTATTTTTCAAATATCCTAGGTTTAAAGTCAAACAGTATATAAATTAGAATAACATCAATTTATTTTGTAAAATAAAACCTTTGATAGTCATTATTTTAGAAAGTGTGAAAACAATTAGGAAACAAATGAAAATAAAACTAGAAAGTCTATTCAGATAATATTGTATTAACAAGTAACAACGTTTTTTTTTATATGAAAGAAGAGACTTCCACCATAATACTAATATGGTATCTTGGATTAATCATTGTTGACCATATGGTCCTAAAATAACCTTAATATTTTCTACAAATGATGAACTCAGTTGGTCTATAATCCAGCAGTTTCGAAGCCTATATTTTTGTTTCTAGTAATGTGGTTGATGTGGAAATTAAATCATTATAATGATATTAAAAAGAAAATTATAGCATTGGTAAACAAGATGTATGTTTTCAATTATTTATTTTTACCTATACAGTCATACCAGTTGCATTTTCACATATTTTAGAAATAAACAAAAAAAACATGTTTACTGAAATAAAGTCAGCTATTGTCCAAGACAAATGCCAGGTCATCTTCCAGATCTATTCAATAGAGCATACTAGATACAAGTATTAAATAGATTAAATAATGAAAAATTGATTCTATAACAAGTCTACTTTATAAGAGCTACAAGTGTCTTAAACAACACTAACAAATTTCTAAAATCTAGACACAATGCTAGAGTGTTTGGGAAAAGCCAAGACATGGAAATTTACCATGGCAACATTTAATTGACACTCATGTTTTTCTATCAGCTTAAAAATAATCAGTTATTGGCTGAGGCCTTAACTGGAGTGCTGTAGACTCCAGTTGTGTTTATTTCAGAAAACCTCAAAAACGTTTATATGGTAATTAATAGCTCAATAAAATAAAAAAAATTACATATATTGTTTCTTTTTAGTGCTGTATAGTAGTGTAAGGACATCTGGCTGTTTTCTTTAGTAATTTTTGAATAAGATGGGTGGGGGGGGGGAATGAATGGCCTCCAGATGTGTACCTACTTATGCAACATTATATAATACAGTTATTAGTTACTGAAAAAACAGGAGGAGGGATTTAGCCCTCTTGTACCCCTTTCCAAGATCAATTTTTGCTTATACTTAAAATAATTATTATTATTTACTGAAGAAGTGGGGTCCAGGCTCATCTCCAGAGATATATGGGTTCTTATACAACATTAAGTAAAACAGTTATTAATTTATGGAAAAAAGAAGAGTTGTGGGGATTGATGCCTTCTGGACCACCACCACCCCTCTATTTGAACCTGCTTATACAACATGAAATTACTAATTCCTGAAAAGAAATGGATGAGATCCACACCATCTAGCCCTCCCAGATCCTTGCCTACTTATATACCATTAAAGAATACAGTTATTAATTTCTGGAGAAAAATGGTTTGGCAGTCCTGAACCCTTCTCCTAGATCTGCACTTGCTCACATAACATTAAAAAATACAATTACCTACTTTTGTACTAGAAACATAAGACAATGTAAAAAACAGTAAATTTACAATATATTTAACACCTGAAAACAGTAAATAATTGGAAACCATAATTTCTGTTACTTGATTGTTTTCGTGACATTAATTAATTGAGACACTAATCAATGTAATTGTTGCTCATAGGTAACTGATTAATTTGCCCAGCTCTAGCTGCAATGATGAAAGTTCTTTTATGTACCAGTGGCTATGTGTATTTCTAGGAATCATCATTGGTTGAGGTAGTAGCCTATCTATAAATATGGACGGAAACTGTTTATCTCCCCCAAACATTTGCTTCCTAAGACACTGACTTGCGAAGCAGTGGTGCAAACTGCAGAGTATGGAGAAATTTAATTTTTATAATTCAATTAAACTATTGCAAAAAAGTGTGCCTTTATCATGCACAACTATAAAATTTGTATTTACTAGGTGCAGAACTGAAATGAGTTTAAATTTAATTTCATCAGTCTTCAGGAATGTAAAAATATTAATGTTTATTTTAAGTTTGAGAAGGAATTCCTTTTTATATAAATTTTTTCTCTTTCGTTTTAGCCCTTAATATTTTCTTGGACAATTTAGAAACACATTAAGATAAAATATTAGCTTCATTTGAATATACTGAGGTCAAGGAGAACTTCACATTTCATTTCAGAACTCCTTAAAACTGGTCAGCTTCCAGTGACCTAAGTAACCTTAGGCACATGTGTATTTTTCCAGTCATCAGTGTAGTGAATTTTCTTGTTCACAGTGAACTTATGGAGTCAATCTAAACCCTATCATGTAAGTATACAGCAATGATGGCAGTTAGGCTAGGCACTGCATCATGGTACGAGTAAAACAGAAAGGTAAACTTCCAAAGTTTTTGGTCTAGTGCATCAGTTGTGTAAGATAATTTCATACATTGCGTCAGTACCAAAGATTTTGACATAGGCAGATAATACTGGTTTCCTTATTTTACAAACTTTTCAAGGCAAAAGATGTCTTTGTATTCATTTTTCCATTATGCTTTTGATATATAGTTTGAGTAGCCTTAGTTTATGTTGTTATTATGGTATATTTGTGCATACATAAAGGCAGTGAAATTGCAAATAACTGATGATGATATATGGATGTAGATTTTCAGATTTAAGTGATTTCTAAGAAATTTTGGCATATGTATTTGTGTACCTATCTATTTATTTGTTTGTCTTCTTTTTTTTTTTTCAGAGTACTACAGCTTAGCAGTGAAATACAACCTGGAAGAGCTCAAAAAGTCAATATTGTTTCACATTAAGTCAAATTTCATGATTGCTGTGACAAATGAATATTTTGTTGCCTGCTCTTATGAACTGTTACTATCTGTTGTTCAAGATGAAGATCTGAAAGTTAAATCTGAAATGGACATTTTAAAAGCAGTTTTAAAATGGATTGCCCATGATACCTGTCGACGCATTTCTCTCCTAGAGTCTTTTCTGAATCACGTAAAATTGGCTAGGATAACCAATAGGAACATAAAGCAACTTGTAGATCAGTCAACATTTACAAAGGATGAAAAGCTTTTTGTTACAGAAAAAATAGAAACTCGAATTTCAGAAAAATCTGTGTTGAAAGAGTTAGGCTTATCTCTGTTTGTATTACACGTAGACAGTTTTGATCATAATATTATAATAACAGCCTTTGATGCTAGCAGTGGTGGTTGGTTTAACTTGCAGAGTACATTGTCCCTAAATCAATTAGATGATGCTATCCTCTTTGAAAAGGACATATATATATTTAGTGAAGGGAGAAATGTTGCATACAGTTTAGAACACCAGGAATGGAAAAATAAGGCACCACTTCCAACACAAAAGCATGACATCAATGCTTGTTTGTTAAATGGTAAGCTCTATGTTATTGGAGGAACTATAACAAACAAGAACAGAGGAGCTTTTTATCCTTGCCAGAGAAGTGGACAAAAATCAGTTCGCCCCATTCAAGTATACAATCCTACTATGGATGAATGGTATACAATAGGAGATTGTTTTTATGGCAATGCCAATATGCCAGTGGTCGGAGTAGATGGTAAGCAGTTGTAATTTATTAGTTTATATTTGCATGAATCCAAGAATTTCTGTAAGTTTTGTTTTCAATATTTAAAGCATAAACATGCAATCTCAATTCATCCTTAAAGTGTGTGTGTCATCTGTTCAATTAAATGAACACATCTGATTTTGTAAGTTTCTAAATTTTAACTGTACTGATACAGCAGGCATTTAAAAACTGGTTAATTTACATGTATGAATTTGCATATTTATATCAAATGTTTTTTATTTCTCTGTCATAAGGTGAAACATGCATATATGAAAATGTGTTTATTAAGTTGTATTTAATAAATGGAGATTTATAAATATATTTTCAGACAGTCTTTATATGGTATGTCATAGACAGTTCAAAAATCAGTCCCATGTGAACATCCTTAGATATAACCTATTAAATGGACGATTTTGTCGGCTGCCTGATTCTCCCAAGAAAATACTTGATGCAGTTCTTTTGGTATTGGACAACTACATCTATGTCTTTGGAGAAGAAAAACAGACACATTATAGACACTTTTGGGACTTTGCTGATGAGTTTATGACACATAACGAAAGTTGTTGTGGTCAACGATATAATATTACAACGGTAGATTTCCACCTTTTATGTAATGTAGTTGATCTTTACCTTCAGTATAATATTACAATGGTAAATTTCACCTTTTAGATAATATGGTTGATTTTGCCACAGAAAGAGTTTTGACAAGTCAGATTTGTGAGCTGTAACACAATATGCTAAAATGAGATTTTAAGATGTTTTTTATTGTTTGTTTTTTTTCTATTATATTTTCACCTTTGAACAACTGGATTAGGTGAATGAAGGCAAATGTTTCAGAAGTATACTCCATCATTTGTATATCTGTATGTTAAAAAAATTGACACAGAGTTACTAAATGCTAGTAGACTTATAAAAATATTAAGATTTTTAAAGACACTTTTGTATATGTTCTTTGATAATGAAGATTTGCATTGATTAGGTTGTAAATCCTGCTGTGTAAAAGTGTATTATACCACTTTAAAAAATCTGTCATATATCTAGACTTTTTAATATTATTTTATTAATATGCATGTGTATAATATTATAATATATACAAATTAAATTGACAAAATGACACTTTTCTTTCAGTAAATGCACTTGTTAAAGCAACAGCTTACATATTTTGAATGTCTGTAAACAAATTAATAATTTCATTAAAATCTATTGAGCAGCTTTTACAAAAATCACTATAAATTTTTTCTATGTTATTTCTACTTTTTCAGGTAAAAAGTTATGTTTACACTTTAGATAGACATTCTGCATATTAAATGAAATACTAGACATAAATAAGAGTCTAAGAGAGTGTAATGATTGTGACCATTTACTTTGATATTGTATAAGAACTAGACCAAAATAACAAATACATATTAAATATTATATTCTTGGTGTATTTGTGCAACTCTTGTCTCATGTAATTGAGCAAGTATATCAAAATTACTTTATGTTGAAGACATGTTTAAACAAAGTACGCTGTGTAACTGCTTAGAGAAGTAGTAAGTTATAATGCCTTTTTAACCCTTTTGCTGTGAAATTTGGAGTTACCCCACGGCTGCCAAAATAGTTTCCTTCTTCAGTGACATGTGGGAATATCTCCCTGTACTAGAAACAGTCGCTAAACCTGCGTACGTGCTGCCATCTGTGTTCTACACCGTGAAACCTGGATATTTATTTGCCTCACTACAAAATTTTGCAGGAACATGTATAAAATCTATATAAAGACAGCTTCTGTATATCTAAATAATTTGTTTTATATTTTTTTGGTGGATAATTGACACTTTTTGGGAATCAGCCTGAAAATTAATTGCGCAGTGAAAAGGTTGATAATAAAGATGAAGACTGTTGACAAAACACAAAATGTTTTATTCACAATATTCAAACATTTCAGAATACACTTATTCCATCTTCAACTAAATCTGAAATAGTGTTACAGATATACTTATTAACTAATGCTATAGTATCATTAATAACTAGCTTAATTTTGCTGTTGAGTAAAGTAGTAAATAGAAGAAAAAAAACAGATCATAGGATATATGTATAGGATATATAGGATATATAGTTGTGTTAGCTGTGTAAATTTAGAATAATTTTATATATAAAGGGGTTTCTAAGTCATTAATAGTAGGGCACTCTTTACCTATGAGTAAATTTTCTGTAATGTAGAGTTCAAAGACTGAAGATCCTGTAGTAATGATAGAGAAATCGTAAACTGTGTTTCAACATGTGAATGAATGGATGAGTGACTGGGTTTAATTAATGGATGGTCAGTTCTGTTCACAGACTGTAGTTTTCAAGTGGCATTTTTTTTTGCCAATGTACATGACCTTACAGTTACTACACATATATTTAGACATGAGCCATGAATGTTGAAGTTTGGGTATTTGATCTTTATATTATTTATATACTTAAGAGTATCAAACACAACCGACTGTCAACCATCTTCTTTATTATTATACTTCATTTTCCCCATCATAAATCCATTGCTAGAATAGTCATGTTATTTGGTCCTTTTGAAAGAATTTTAAAATTTACCACATGATTCTTCTTTAAAATAACATTTGTTTAAACAATTATGTATGTAAATTTTTAACTATTTAAGATCATGTGCAAAAAATTAGGTAGTGAATTGCTAGTAATAACTTTTTTGTCCTTACATCAAGAAATGGACATAAAAAAAGGGTTTTCTAAGATTTAATATATCTTATATTGCTACATTTGAAAGAGAATATGACAGTTGATTCCCTTCTGTTGGAAAAGTAAAAAGTTGTGAATTAATTTATAAAATCTTGGAGTTCCAAATTCTCTGATATAACATATTTTGTACTTTTATTTTTTCTGATTGTTAATATTGCTCTCTTAGGATACTTGGTCAGTTTGTAACATAGCTCTGCCACAGGGTGTGAAGATTGTTACAGCTATTGCCTTAAAAACTTCATTAGCTGTTCTTTGCCAGTGCAGATCAAACCGAGGTCAACAGTTAACCTTGTATTTGTATGACCCTGCTTCTGACAAAATGGAACTTTTTGGTGAAATCCCTTTCCCTGATGGTGGTGGTTGTGACCAAAGAACATTTTCTTGTCATAACAGTTACTATTTACAATCAATAAAGTTTTTGATGAGCACAGATAAAGAATTGACAGGTATGTTGCAATTCTTGATACCATTTTATTGTGCATGAAAATGTGCCAATCTGAAAACAGGATAAACATATTCTGTGTTGAAGCTACACTCGTAATTTATAATTAAAAACGTTTCACTGTGCTAGGAGCAGTTTTATTTTCTGTATTATAAGTGTGTAAATTCAAATGATTTATAAGTTTAGTATTGATGCTAATATAAGGATGGTAGTTTTGGAAGATATAAAAATACCAGAACATGAAAGGTTGAATTTGTACAATTATATAAATGGATACAGTTATGAAACTAATATTCATGTACAAAATGACCTTGTTAACTTCACATCATAAGACTCACCACATCAGACTGTTTGAAGTTTTGAACACATTTTAAAACAAAATAGAACATATATATATATTCTTGTAAATTTGTTTTATGTTTCTTATCTGTTTTTTATAACACTTGAAGTATTGGAGCTAGCAAATTTTAATGATGATGTCACCAAGAACTCTAACTCATAGTCCATAAATTGGGCAACCAATAATGCATAACTCTTAGCAACAAACCTGGAAAGTTTTATGAGTACATACTGTTCATAAAAGAGGCACTTATAGTAAATATAACAGGTAGTAACATATAACCAGAATTCTTAAGTAAAATTTAAGAAAAACTGTGACAGTTCAACACAGTTTATGAACTCTGACCCAAGCACATTCAGAAAGTTAGTTACTTTGAGTATACTCTGTTTATTAGGTTTGTTAAATAGTGATTTATTAACTTTTTCGTATTTTTGACCTGTTGATGATTGACTCTGAAGAGCAGTTGTTTAATAGGTATGGATTTTAACAGGAATTGTATCATTTACATGTGAAGAGGTTTGTTTGTCTTGCTAGCATTTACTTGTTGATTCCACATAACAATTGAATTTTCTCACATAGATAGAATATGTAAAGCTTACGTTCTGTGTACAGTGATGGTTAATAATTAATCAATTAAAACTGACTTTGTTATATGAGGTTTATGAACCACAGTTATAGTGTGTATGTTTATGTGCCATTATACTGTAAATAAAACTAGGAAGCAGCAGCAGCATTAAACAATTTTATTAGCATTTACTACAGATAAGCACTCTGAGCACCATGGCTAACATAGTAACCTTTTACATTTTTTGTTTGTTTGTTTTGTTTTAACAAAGTGTGAAAATGTAAATTAATTGTAGAAGTACTGTTCTTTATTGTTAGTAATGATTACTGAGGGTTAAATGCACTTTACGTGAATGATAATTATATGCTAATGCACTGGTTGTCATCCTGAATTTGATCCAGAGCACCATGAGCAACATGTCTAACGCTACGAATACGGGCTGGGTGGGATCCATCCAGCTCATAACCACAAAAGTATCCATTAGAGTAATTGTACTATTTTGCAGGTTATTAGTAAGCATTACAAGGCTTTCATAAAGAAAACAGCACGTTTTTAAATTATGTATTAATGTTTTTTTATTAAAGATTTGCTTGTGAATTTTTTTCTTTCAGAATGTTGACTATTCAACATGCAAAGTAATTTTGATTTTAAGATTAAAAATACTTTTCTTTATCTGAAATTTGTCAAGTTTCATTAGTGTAATATTTGTTTCCTTCTAGATAATCATCAAATGTTTGTTTGAATAAAACTTTATATTTAATCTGTTATTTTATCAATGCTAACTCTATATGGTGTTGGTCGATTTGACAGACCTCGTAACCATCATAAAAATTAGGAAATAAATCTAAATTACCTTTTCTTGTGTTAAGATTAACTGTAACAGGAAACCCTGACAGAAGTTAAATTATGTGGCACACATGCAACTCATGTTACCATATCAAATAGCATAATGCACAAGTAATGCACAAGCTGCTGGCGCGTATACCCCATGAAGATTTTTATTATTTTTCTGTTACTATCTTACCTAATAAGTTTCTGTTTTTTACATTTTAATTACTTTTATAATAATAAATAGTGAAAACAAATGAAAAATTCTCGTAATTAAATATCAAGCATTTTTATTTTCAGATATTTTATCTGTTATTTTCTTTACTGTAACATTATATTTGATTCTCCAGGTTGTAGGTAAGTAATCGTAGTATAAGGAAAATATAGGTTGCAAATGCAAAATAAAATGTATTGCTAGTATTGATCACAAAATTTCAAAGTACTTATGGTGACAGTTTACACTTTTCACACTTATTTTCTGTAGCAGATGGCTTAGAAACTAGACAAAACAAAATGAATAATACTGTCTGTCCTTTTCAGTATGGACAACGAAGTTCCAAAGTAAATCTCCTGAGAGTTTCTTCTAATCTTTTTACACCTATTTCCTATATTTATTCTTCTGTTAGCAGCTGAAGTAGAAACCTGCTGAATATAAAGCAATGAATCACCATTCCTGTTTATGTGTTACCGTGAGTACTTCGACACTGTCAATATCAAATAAGCTTTTGCGGTGAAATTCCCAGAACTTTTCCTGCTTTCAGAACAGAATGGGATAGGATTTACCAACTTGTTGACAGTGTAATGATTACAATGAGAATTGTCTAAAATATTATAAAATGCTTATGTTATGGCTTGTAGAAAGTCTTGGCCAATCCAATAAACTTGGTAGGTATTTAAATGTTAGTTGATAAGTGGACATTTCTTACAAAGTGTATTCGAATCCTGGCTCTGAAAAGACAGTGGGGTAGAATTTATCGGCTTGTTTACACAATACAGTAGATGCAATAAGAATTGTCTAAAGTAGTATATAAAAGTGAGAGAAAATATTTATGATATGGCTCTGTACAAAGTTGTATCTGATCCAATAAACTTGGGTGGTTGGGATTTAATGGTGATATAGGTGTAAAAGTGCTTATGAACATCCTGTTTCCTATATTACCATGCATGCACGATAACTAATAAGTGCTTAGTTTCCAATATTTTGTAAGGTACAGTGAGGTTTTGGTTATCATACATTACGTGTGTGTGTGTATATGTATATATATAGGTATACATTATTACTATTTACAAATAAATATTTAAATTTGAGTTATTTTTCTTAAACATAGAACAGTAAATAAAAAATATTCAGAAAACAATAATCTCCACTACTTACTATGTTTTGAAGTTCTATTTTTGCACTTATGAACCCTTATTGTAAGCCTTGTCCAAATTCACTTGTGGATCTAATTTCTGTTTGGAAAATTGAATTGATCATGATGCTTCAAACTCTTCAATGATATAAGAGCTTTCTCTTGTAAATAACTTAGAAAACTAACAGAATTATTTAGAGGAAATGTAGAGCTTTTGATTGGTTATAAACTTATAGGTATAGAAAAGCAGGAGTAGATAAACAGGTGGTGGGTGGAGCCAATATGGTGGATTTGATAAATATTATGATATGTCAGCAAATAGAAAAGGTAGGAGGTTCTCATTTTATATTCTAGCTTGCCAATATCAGAAATTTTAGTCTATAATTCATATAAAACTATAGACATTGTATTATGGACATCATAAAATGTAGTCTGACTGAACCCAGAAGATGACGTACCAGTGTGACACACAAAAATCGATATTCAGCTTCTATTCTTTTTTTTTATATTTTACTTTCAAATTAACACTTATATACTTGGTGCATGGTGAATTCCTAATTAATCGATAGCACAATGCCTCCACATATAGACTTAAATCTTGAAGGAATATAATAAAAACTGTCCCAAAACGAGATATTCAAAATTGTTTAACATTTAATTGTTAAAGAACTTCACAGTTCTCCATGGAAATGAGGTTCCAAACTATGCCTCAGTCCAATCTAGAACAGTGGAATTATCTACACAGTTGAGGTTATGAAGAGAATTCTTTTACCCAAAAGCTATTGTAAGAGAACTAGACAGATATTTTTATGCTGTTAAAAAAATGATAAAAAGGAATTTGTAATTTACTGAGATTTTCACTGCCAAAAGTTTACAAGCTTTCAACATCATAAAATCGAGTTATGAGAACTGATGTTAGAGGAAACTGGAAATACAGCAATTTCATTCAACCATATGACTGTCAACTCCCCATTCCAGTGTATTTTGATGTCTCTGGTGTGCTTAAAACTTGTTTTTTGAAATCATTCTAGTGAAGTGCATTTATCATCAGTAATCTTCTAATTAGTAGATAGTTTAATTTTATGTTTTGTATTTAATAATATTGTCACAATGTGGTAGACTAAGAACAGTAATGATGTTACAATAAAAATATATGACGAGAAATAGGGTGATAGCTTTGTGCTTGTTTTTCTTTCTTTTTTAAGGTTATTAATAAAATTGTATTTGCTTATTCACTTCATAGATATTGCATCTCATGGTAAATCTGTGTCATCTAGTAACCAGACTGTTGTCTCACAAAATAAAAATTTACTTGATATAAAGCAAGAAAAGTTGGAACAGAGTGTATATGTAAGTAATCTAGTTGCTTTTGGAGACCTAATTGATGCTCAGGCCCAAGTTCCAAACCCAGGACAGCGAGAAGCACATGGTACTATATGTTACCATGTAAATACAGTGCAGAAATTTGTTCCTGGTAATTATATTGCATCTGTAGAGTCTCTAACCAGTACAATGTGTGATGTTCCATTTGTTATATTTCATTATGAAAGTGTCAAAGCAGCAAGAATACTTGAGAAGATTTGCCAAATTCAAGACCTCGGATCAGAATATTTTCATCCAAAAGAAGAAAACATTGTTTCCAGGTATGATTGGTGCCACTGGAGGAATTGGCGATTAATTGATAATGAAGATATTACCAAAAGGTTAGAAATAAAAGTAGAAGATGAAGATGTACAGCTAAGTGACACTTTAACTGACAGTTACATCAGTGATGACTCAGATGAGGAGGAAAATAGTAAAGATGATAAGAGATATTCTAGTTATAATTCTAGCAGAAAGTTAAAATCAAAACAGACAATTACTGTTAGCAGTAGTGATATTATCTACTTTGTGCCTGTGGAAAACAGCAATGATATCCCATCTCTAGTCAACAAGAAAGATTTTAACTCTAAAATTCTTCATGCTCTTCAAGAAGGTGTAGAATCTGCTAAAGGCTTTGCAGCCAATGTTTCTCGAACAAAATTTAACATTCCTGGTGACTGGAACTACGGAGCTCTTTGTCAAGATAAAAAAAGTCAAAGATACTTTGCCCTAGTTTTATATTTTTCACTAACTGATGATGAGAAAGAAAATGCTAGCAGCTTTTACAACACAATTAAACTTAGTGATTGCCATTTAATTTTCGATATGGAAGTCATGACCTAAATATCTCTTAGCTGTGATCATTAGTATAATAATTGGTATTGTTTTCTTATGGTTTTGCAGGTATAATTGTAAAGTAAAAATCCATAACTTGTTAAGATATAATACAAAAGCTTATAAAAACTAAGCATTTAAATCGAAGTTTGGTTGCATATTTGAGAAGTTAGTTGATTATGTTTATTTCATTTCATTTTTGTAGGATAAATTTTCTTTTAACAATTCATCAAAGTTACTAGTACTACTATTTTTAAAAACTGTAGGCTCACAATTATAAGGAAGTATATGTGATTTTAAATTTTTGTTATCATACTAAATCATTACAAAAAATTTTCATTGAAATTATAATTCAGAAATGTATTGAATGCTTTCAACTAGTGGTACAAACAGTGCATAAGAATTAAAAGTAATACTTGAGCTAAACAACTTTCAAAATTTATCATGGATATAAGAAGTGGCCTTATGATATAACTACTATGGCTGGGATATTTCATTTGTAAATGAAATTACTTTAAAATGTACTTTGCAATGCTAAAAATTATAGAACAATTCATTGAAATATCAAAATGTGATACAGACTTTAATATTTTTTTGAAGTGTGATAGGGACGTATCAGTGGTTTTATGCATTGGTTACTAATGACATGATCAATAGAGTGCAAGTTTCAGTCATTCTAAGATAAAATAATAAACAAATTATGATTTATCTTTTCTAATTGTGATTAGAATGTACCATAATCACTGTATATGGTAGTAGCATTCACTCTTTATCCTTGCTATAATCCTTTAGTTCTTCTCCAGTGAGTTAAAAGTAAAGTTCATATTCAAAATGCATAGGGCCACTGCTTAACTCCACTTTCCACAAACAGATGAAAAAATGTTATTAATTTCCTACTAAATAAGATTCTAGTTCCTTGTGGGTTTGTCCTCTAGTATGACCTTGTTTTTTTTCATAATATGAAGCTTTTGAAAAAAAAAAAATTTTCTTGTCTCTTTCTGAAAAATTTATTAGTTCAAACCTTTTACATGTTTTATTTGTAAGAGGTTTGGCAAATGGTATGATTTTTGATGAATAAAGGAACTTAAACTGAGAATAAGGTGTTATTTGATGAGTTTATTTATAGGTGCCAATTAAAAAAGTTTGCAAGAAAATTTTTGTGAAAGATTATTGGAAAGTATAAGGATTAGTTACAATAATCCATAAACAAATGTGATTAGTTGAGGATTATATAGAAAAGTATGGATATTTCTTTTATTATAGAAATCTTTTTATTAATCAGTCACTTGTCCCAAATGAAGTTTGTTTCTTGAAGGACATGGTGATATAACTTTTGACAAATTAATTAAAAAAAATTTTTTTTTTTAAAACAACAGTTTCGAAGTGATTGGTGAGTGCACATTTTGTAGCCATTCTTATCACATCTGTACTGATATAAAAATGTATTTTGGTCTGCATATCAATTTCTGTTAACATCGTGGATTGTAATTGTTTAATTGAAGAGTGAAAAACAGCAAAAATACTCAAATGATTGAGTATGGTTTTGCATTATTATAAGAAAAAAAAAGTCACTTTGAAAGGGATTTTTGGGTGCATATTTTGTTCACATACTTATCTGTGTAATACTGATATAGAAATTGTTTGTCAGTCTACATATCTGTTCATTTCTTTTATCCTCTAATGTTTCTGAAGAATGGAGCAATGCAAGAATACCCAAGTGATTAATTGTAATTTTGCATTATTTCAAGAAAAAATAAGTTAAGTTCAAAATGATTGTATATTTTGTAATCAAGCCATTCTTAGCAGTACCACTTGAATTAGAAAAAAATATATGGAATTTTCACAACAGATATTAGTACACCTTTAAAGTGTCAATTCACCATAACTGGGATCTTAATAAACTCTTGATGTAGGTATCTTAAATATATCTCACATTAGATCAATATAAGTAGGCAGTGGACATTTTTCTTTTCTTTTATTATGAATATTACCTAACTTAGCTACGAAGAGCCTTATAGAATTTTCTTAAGGTTGTATACATATTCTGAAAATAAATAGTTCAAATCAACTTTAAGTGGTAAGTACTACAATATATACACCTGGAAAAAAGTTAAGCACCCCCAAATATTTTTCAGGATTGCTTAT